TTGTCACCTCGAGGGGTAAAAAGTATAACTATTGCACTGTGTTGTACAGCTGAAACTAATTCTAAAAAATGTGTATTTCACAATAAAAAATAATAATTAAGAAAGAAGTGTAACTCTAGAAATCAATAATGATATTGGTATGCAAAATAATACCCTGGAATACAATAATCAGTTTTGTTGAACTTACGATGAACTTGCAATGACAAAGAGTTCTTGGCCTTCTATGACATGTAAATGTCGTAAATTTGTTATCAGTACATAAAATTTCTTGTACCTTGTATCTGTTCTTGTGTTTTGGAATTATTTGTTACATAAAATTTCTTGTACAATAATATGTTTAAAAAAAATGCTGGGGGGAGGGGGAGGCAAAAAATAATAATAAAAAATAAATGCTAAAATTCCTTTATAATACAAAAAACAATTTCCTAAATGTAAACAAATAAAATTTTAAATTAAAAAATTAAAAGATTATTTTCCCTGAAAAAAAAAAAAATTGCACTTCAAGTAAATTTGCTTCGAGTCCTCTACATTCTTCATCAGTAACCAAAACAACAAACCACAGAAAAATACCCTTCTTATTTTAAGAAGTTTCTGGGAGGCATATTTTTTTAAGTATTTTTCTAATTTTCTACATTGTGAGCTCATTGACCCTGAGGCAAATCAAAATCTTGATGAGGCCAGATGGAACTGGACTTGGAGCTGAGCTAGCTGCGTCCTCCACAACTAAGATTCAAGGACAACAACTTGGCTGTTCCCCTTCCCCAATTCCCTAACACTGTTCCCTCTCCCCAATTCCCAAATAAAGTCTTAAAAAAACCCAAAAAAACCTTGAATGCCAGTGGTGCTGAGAGCCCTCAGAACACAGTAAGTCAGTGCTTAAAGGGGAGGGAATGAGGTTAAAAACACATGGAAATATCCTGGTAAAGCTTTTAATGGTCTGAAACCACCCCCTGCACTCCTTAGAAGACAACTTGTTCCCCTTACACTCCAAAGATATGGGGAAGTGGCAGTGATCAGAAATCAAATTTCAATTGTATCAATCCCTGGATGTTTTTTTCTTCTGGGTTTTTCCTTTCCTCCCTTAACCCTTATATCTATCAAAACCAATAATATTTTTGTATAGATACACCAACTTGGGAAGGGAGTAGAAGCATAGACCTAGGCTGGTCTCACTTTACTGAGGCCAAGAATCCTATCCTATGGACATGGTGTGTTGAGAGGTTATAATAGCGTTTAGACCAGAATAGAGGTTGTGGTTAACGAAGCACCTTGAAAAGACCTTGAACATCCAATCAGCTTTGCATAACTACTTGATAGAATTGTATTCATAAATTCATCTAAAATTACAGATTCAAGAATGCTATAACTAATAACTATAACAAACCACAATGCAAACCAATCAGGAAAATTAAGCAATTAAACTATGCCTCACTAGCAAAAAACATAGTTAAATGTACACATGCAATCTTTTTAGTCAGATTATAGCTGAAAAAAGAAATCAGTCATTTTTCTTTGTCTTATAATTTTGCTCTTATTGATTTATATTTCATAATTGCTTTCCCCATATGATGTAAAAGCAATTCAGAGAGACAGAGACAGCCAGAGAGAGAGAGAGAGAGAGAGATGATTGCAAGGAGACCTTAGCCTTGTAGTACAAAACAAGCTTATAAATCCAGGCTTTTAATAAGCTGTCAGGTTGATTACAAAACATTTGACCTACTTTGGAAATAAATTAACATAGAGCTAAAGTATAAACTAAAATTCTTCTTAGCTAATGAAGCTTTTTGTAAATTATATTATTTCTAGTTTTGCCTTCTAAATCTTAACTGAAATAAGAGGGGTGGAAATTCCAGCACACAAATATTATAGAGAGATTAAGGCAAATTTTGACAGATTCTTTCCTGAGAAGAGGAGATTTAACTTTAGTGGTCAGAAGATGTGGTCCATCTGGAGTGTCACCAAAAACTTCTTAAACCTTACCTGGTTCTGCTTTAACGTGGACACAAGCTTCTGCAACGTGATATTTTCTTCTTCCAGCTCTGTATAGTCCTGAAGGAGGCGGGACTCTCGGAACTTATATTCTCGTATTTCATCCTTCATCCGTATTCTTTGTAGCTCCACCATCTCATTGTTCTGTAACAATAAAATAAGCAGTCAATACAAAACTTTCTTATTCCGGATTTTACGAAGTATAGATAAAGTCTGGGTAGTAAAAAACATAGTCAAGTGCCACTGAATGATGGGGATATATATTTTTGAGACACTTGATGCATTCTGAGAAATGCATCATTAGGCAATTTAATCATTGTGTGAACATTATAGAGTGTACTTACACAGGCCTAGATGGTACAGCCTCCTACACTCCTAGACTCTATGGTATTGCCTATTGCTCTTAGGCTACAAGCCTGTACAGCACGTTACTGTACAAAACAACACGAGGTTAAATCAAGCACAAGAGAAAATGACACAATCAAGAGACACAGTAAACATAAGACATATGAAGCTGTTGCTGGCTTACCACAGCATGCTGTGTTATAGCAAACTTTATAAGTAGAAAGAGTACACTCTAAAATGACAATAAAAGTATAGTAAATGCATAAACTAGTAACACAGTCATTTATTATCAAGTGTGATGTACTGTATATGATTGCATGTGCTATACTTCACAAAACCGGAAGTGCAGTAGGTTTATTTACACCAGCATCACCACAAACACATGAGCAACGTGTTGTCCTACTACATTAGGAGAACTATGACATCACTAGGTGATAGGAAGTTTTCAGCTTTGTTGTGATCTTACGGGACCACCGTTGTACATGCAGTCCATCGTTGACAGAAATGTCATTATGTGGCACATGACTGCACCATAATTTCAAAACAATGATGGTATTTCAAAATACCTGCAAAAACTGAGGTGTGGTATGAAAATACTGACCACAAAGTAACAGATGCTGCTAATACTACTGAAGTTTGTTGTCTACATTCACATGGGAAAAAAATGCTAAATTTCAGTCTGAGTTTAGTGAAAATAGAGATGTAATCGTTTTTCCCATCCAAGTTTACAGGCCTCCTGAATTCCATCCATAGACTCCCAGGACCCAGGTTCGGAAACTCTTCTGCTTCTACTTGTCCCTTAGGTCTCAGTTCAGCTGTCATCTCCTCAGAGAGGCCTTTCCCCAACAGCTAACATCAGACAGCTTCCTCTGCCCTTCACTCTCCACCCCCTTATATGCTTTATTTTATAGATCAGCATCTAGTGTAGAGTAGATACTCAAAATAATTGTTGAAGGAATAGCACTAATCTTTACTTGAAATTGGTTATTTACTTACTTTTTATATTTTTTACATATATTAAATTTCCTTTTTCATCTGAATGTAATGAACCTTTCCTGTATTGTTCATTGATATGTCCCTAATTCCTGGCACATTTTAGGCCCTTATAACCGTGGAATGAATAATACAAATGATTAAACACAAAATGTTAAGAATACTATTGCATGGATGGTGGCTTTTTGGTTTGCGTTGTTTTAAAGCGGGGAACAAAGAGAGAATAACACACTTTGGAAAAAAAAGCATGCCTAATCTGTGAAATACCTAGACGTTATAATTCTTCTTCAGTACATAGTCTAGAGATTTGGAGGCAGAAATATTACTTTATTTTCTGCTTCTTGGACAATACTTTAAACATATGTGCTCAAAAAGTATAAAATAAAAAACAGTAGAGTTTGCATATAAATTGAAATTACAATATTTCATTGAATTCTTTTACTTTATAGAAACATGAAACCTTGATATTTTTCTACTTCTTGAAAGATTCACTATTAACTGAGTGATATATATGTATATATATACACATATTTAGTTTTCCTTATTTATATGTATAAAGATATGATAAAGCCTGATACATTGGATCCCAGTGATATAGATAAAACTATAAAGAAAATATTAAGATACAAGAGATTCTGTAAGATATACATACATTGTAAAACACATTATAACCAGAAGCCCAGCTCATATACATTGAGAATTAACCATAAAATCTTATATAGTAAGACAGTAAATAAGATAAATTTTAAGACTACGGCAAAGCTAATGAGGATCACTAACAACTGATTAAAAAAAGTTAGTGAAAACTCCTGATGCTAATTAAGGAAAAGCGTGGCTGGGAAACTGGTTAAGCTAAAAGACTTGCTAGCAATAAAACAGACATGAGACCCAAAGGAAGAAAACTGGTCTATTTATTTTGCTAGAAATCCTTGTTTTGAATTGCCAAAGATTAAATTCTATGGGCAATATTCTTTGCTTCCATAATGAAACTAAAACATTGCTACTGTTGTTTGAATCACTCATCATACATTTATCTCCTACAATTTGTTTTCTTCCTGGGGTAAAATGGTGCTGAGCTCTACTAAAAACTTCTGTCGAGAATAATGAGAAAAAAAAGAACTAGAAGAATGAGAGTGAGGAAAATAAAGCATGAGAGAAAGGAGAAAAAATGGCGCAAACAGAGACCACTGTTGCCTTTTACCTCCAGAGACCTGAGCCCCAGTTCCTCCTCAGGGGACAGGGGATTAACCTGCAACGTGTAGGATAGACTATCCTCATGATATGCATGGCACCTGAGTATAGCAGCATTCTTAAAATTTTATTTTCATGAACATTAACAGGATTTCCTCCTGTGGGAATAATAAAGTCCCTCTACTACTGTCAAGAAGAAAATATAAGCATGAACACTTACTACCACACAGAGTAATGTATAAAAAAATAATAACGTCTTCCAGTTATAGGACACTTAGTCCTTTATAAATTACAGTGTTGCATTAGATCTTAATAATAGCTTGTGTGAGGTAGGTGACAGACCCTACAGTTTATTCATCTGTAAAATGGGAATCCCAATTCTTAATATGATATGGTCCCTGTGAGGCTTGAATGATATAACACGGGGAAATGAGCAGGGATGCCAGACACAGATAATTTATGCCAACGCAACAGAACAAGTGCTGTTAAAAGGGCTCACACCAAAAGGCTGAACAATCAAATCTCCACAGTGAGTCAGGGAAAGCTTTCTAAAGGAAGTCCCATTTGAGCAGAACCTTGAAGGACATATAGAGTTAACTAAATGGATCAAGAGGAGGACAAGACTTTCCAGACAGATGTCAACTGCTGAGCAAAAGCAGTCATGTTTGTGTTGAGGGCAGTACTAAAATACCCAATAGTCAGAGTGAGGGTAACACTCTTAGGGTAACAGCAAAGCTGGAGCACAGACAGAGGAAGAGAAGAAGGGAGAAGTTCAGGAAAATCTAGAAAATTGCTAATTATTTTCAGCTTATGTCTAAGTTGGGTGTTATTTCATACAATAAATGTTGAATTACAGGCTAGTGTTGTTAACCTGTGAGACATTGAGAGCAACCAAAATGTTTTCAATGCTTAGAACCTTTAAAGTTCTTAAGTCAGCTGTGGTTCAGCAGTCTGATGTGGTTGTAACGAAGTATTAATAACTTGAGACAGATTTTTGCAGGAAATTCTGTCAAAGGAATTAGGGGAGCCAGGAAAGTCTTTTAAGCAAAGCAGCCATGTGATCAGACATATGTTTTGGCAAGCGGACTCTGTTGACAGAGCAGGCAGAGGGGACTACAAGCAAGAGCCACAGAGAATAATCCACGCAGCCGCCCCAACAGCCCAAGGTGAAAGAAGATGATGAGGAATGTTGAGGAACATCTCAGAATGAACAGGACTTGGTTACTGATTGATGTGATGATAAATGAAAAAGGAGAAAAACAGTCACGTAAAACAACATGGCCTTATTAAATAAGAATAAAAGTGCCTGAACAGGGTTGTAACAAAAAATAATTTACAATGAAATGAATGTGAGAGTTGATTATGTGTCTTACAAACAATTATAAGTAGTATTAATTTGGATAGGCAAAGTAGGAATTTCTGGATCTGTGAGTGGATAAAGGAAGATAGCTGCTCTGGTCCAAGTGGAGGATGTTGGAGAGGAGAAAGGATGGGGAAGGTGGGACCAGCTTTCTCACTTCCTTCCCGGAGAGATGTCACTGCCAGAGAGTTCTGGCAGTTCAAGACCATAACATTCAATTTCCTTTATTTGGCCCAAAATTAACTCTTCGCTTGTTGAAGAGAGGAGTAGACAATAATTCATTCTCCTTGTCCCCACCCTCCAATCCCACCAGGAATTCTCTGCATAGGGCCAAGAATACTTGACCTTCTGTGGTTAACCTGATAGACACAGAGGGATATTCTTCCAAAATCACAATAAGCCAAGACCTATTGCTCTATCAGGCAGTGCTATGGGCTTCACAGGTCTTTAGGGGAACTACCAACGAAGAGAGCCAGCTATCCAGAGCACCACAGAGTCAGCATCTCCAAAGGCAGTCCAGACATAATAACTGGGGCAATGGCTAGGAACAACAAATAAGGCAATTTTGAAGTGTGGCTTAAAACACACATGCTCAGCAAGAAAAAGGAAACATAAAGAGATTTTCTGTGGCTGGGAAAAAGTAAAAAGGAGAAGAGAATTGTGATTTTAGGACAGCATTTTCCATAGTGAGATCTGTAGTAGGCTGGTTCTGTGAAGGGTTACCAAGAGTCACTCAAACATAAGTTTGGGAAATACTGGGTTAAATAAAGTTATACACTTTTGTTGTTGTTGTTGTTGTTCTCAGAGCCCTTAATATGCTCATGGGCACTGAGACTATGAAAGAGCAAGACATGGTATGTATGCAGAATGTGCTAAACTTATTTGACCACAAGACTTGCCTTTTTAAAGGAGCCTTTGACTCAGTTGGTTAAGAGCTCACTCAAAGAGTGCGAGCTCTGAGCAACAGGGTCGCCAGTTCGATTCATGGCCCGAGCTGAGCTGCCAACAGGTGGCAGGATGGATCAGCTAAAAATAAAATAAAATAAAATAAAGGAGCCTTTGAACAATCCACAGACCAAATCTTCGGAAAATGTTACTCTGAGACAATAGAAAATCACAGTATCCATACAGCTGGGTGGGGTAAACCACCAAGCTCCTTACGGCCCAACTCCATCTGGCTTCCAACTGCCGAGGGCTGAATGAACCATCAGATTTAAATAATAGCATAAAATTAAAGCAGAGGAGTAGGCAGATA